TGTAAATAGAAACTAGTAACAAGTATTAAGTAATAGTAATAATGTATTAGAAGTAAAAATATCATGTGTGGTACACAAATGTATTTATTGTAAATGTATATACGTACGTATGTACGCACACAGCACGTGCGTACGTAAGTACGTACTGACATGTTAGAAAATAGTTAATACAAATAATACCAAAAAAAATAAGAAGATGCAAAATAATGTTTCATACTTAGTTTATGTTTTATATCACCCTGGATGAACAAGTTTTGTCACGTGACCACATGTGCAAACGCCGATTTAACATTTCAGCAATTACGGACCCGATTTCAGGTAATTATTTGAAGATATCTTTTTTTCTACTGCATCCACAAAATTAAGACCTAGATCGTAGGACCCGGCGTTAATTGAGCTTTCATTTTATGTATGTAGTAATTGTGAGACTTAGGTGTTCTTTTAGAACACTTCGACACAAATTTTCTTTTTGCAAGGCAAACGCCGGTAGGTTTTACCTTTTCTTATCTTTTTTGTTCACTGGAAACCCATGTAGAGGGAAAATAATAGAAGATATGTCTTTTTACAAGTAATTATTTCGTACCTAACTAATTTATAATTTCATTGGCAAGGTTATATTCGATATAAACCCATGTTTTCCACTTATTGTCGATTTTGCAAACGTCGTTTGATCATGTAAAATATGCAAACGTCGGTTGGTCATTTGGAATATATATGCAAGCGCCCGTTGATGTCTTTTTGAACGCTGAACTATATCTATCTCATTTCCAGAGTTCTTCATCATATAAAACAATTTCATTGCAAACTGATTCTAATAACTCCATTCTGGCCACGACGCCTATGGTTTCCAGATTTAGTGATTCTATCGGTAGCTCAACCGTTAGGTCTTCTATTGGTTACAAATCTGTTACAACAACCAAATCTCAGATATGTCATCCAAATCCAGGTGTTCTGAAACTGACTGCATGGTTGCTATCGACAGACAGTTTAGAGAAAAAGTTTTTTTTTCTCAAAACTTCTTACAGCCAGTTGGAGAACAGGTACTCAGAAAGATTACTCCAGTAAATTAAGACAATTTATGTCGTCAAAAGAATATTGATTCCTTCACAGCATCCTTAAATACTTGTGCTGAGTTTTTATCAGATCTGTACAATAAAGGTTTACAGTAGGTTACCGCACTATTTTATCTGCAGTTTTACCTCCAGTAGATAGCACTCCTATTTGTCAACATCTGTATTATATCAGATTATTAAAAGGAGTATTCAATTTAAGAACTCCTGTAACAAAGTTGTTGCCTGAATGGGATTTGCCTAAAGTTCTTAGTGCGCTACAAACAGTTCCTTTTGAACCTTTGAGAAAAACATCAATTTAATTTTTAACATATAAAGTTGTTTTTCTTACAGCTATCACGGCATTCAGGAGAGCCAGCTACCTTCAAGCGTTAACATTAGGAGGAGCTATTTCTGTGAAGACAGATGGGGAAACTTTTATCAGACAAGGTTTGGCTAAACAGGATAGACCTTGTCATTCATCAGCAAAAATGTGTGGTGTACCAGCTTTTAAGACCATCCAAGAAGAGCACTTGCTATCTATCTTAAAAGAACTAAATCCTTCAGACGTAAAGATGAAACAAGTTTATTTCTGACAATAAAATTAATGTACCTCATTCTAAAGCTTCTTCACAAACTTTGGCTTCATATATTCTTAAAACTATTCCAGAGGCTTATGCAGATAAACATAAAAGTGAAACAGCACATTCTACAAGAGCTTTAGGTCCTAATTCTCAACGCTGCAGATTGGTCAAAAGAAAACACCTTCGTTAAATTTTATTTGAAACAAATAACTCCAAGTGATATCACTGTGTAGTTCAACGTCGCTGTATAGTTCAAACTAAGAAGATTGACTTTTATTTCTAAATTTTTAAATCAAAGTTTATTCCCGACGGATTTTGTTTGGAATTGATTTTTGAGAAGATTATACGGTTTTATGTATACATGTATATATGGGATATACAGAAGTTTTATAAAAGTTTGTTATTGAAGAAGAAGAATGTTTTAAAATAAAAAAGAAAGAGAAAAGAGAGAAGTCTTTTGTTCAGAGAATTGTAATATTTGCAACTTGACTTAAAATAACCATCGGTTTATAAGAATCTTACACCGGCTGCCGGTACAGACCGGAGTATCTGTCGAGTTTCTGCTAAACAGTTACTCGAGAGCTGCATGGGTATTCCTGTCTGTACCAACAGCCGGTGTTTGATTCTTTTTCTTGCATATTACATGTCAAATATTTTCGGAACAGAAATTATGAAAAACTGATATATATATTACGCACTTCTTTCTTATAGTAGCGTATGATTCATAAAGGAAAATGACGTCATCCTAAGAACGCGATTCATTCATAAAAGGCGCGCGTCAAAGACGTCATTTAAGTCTGAGATGCAAGAAATATATATATTTAAAGACGTTTTCGGGAGTTTTCATATAGACATATAGGCAAAATTAAAACTGTTCAATAGAATTTTTTAAACTTGGCTTGTTAAACAGAAACATTTTAAGCGAAAAAGAAATGGGTCACCGTTCTCATTTTTGAAATATCTGCCCTTGAAATGGGCTTTTTTGTTAAATTCAAGGGCAGATAATTATTTTCCTATTTTCATGAAGCTTATCTTCGTCTTAGTTGATATGCAAAATTTCAAGAACAAACTTAGAGTGGGTAGTTTCTATATCAACTTCTTCTTTTAACCTGTGCATTTTTTCTAAAAAAAATGGACTATTTTTTAAGAATTTAAAGTACCTTTATTTTCATTGAAAACAATTAACAGAAACGATGTAAGACGAGAACGGTGACCCCAATTTTCTTTTCGCTTAAAATGTTTCTGTTATCATATTCTAACAACATGCCAAGTTTAAAGAAATCCTATTGAACAGTTTTAGTTTTGCCTATATGTCCATATGAAAACTCCCGAAAACGTCCTTAATATGTTCAACCGGCGTTTGCATATTTAACATGTTCAAACGACGTTTGCAAATTAGACAATACGGGGAATAACATGGGATTATGTCGAATATAACTTTGCAAATGGAATTATAAATGAGTTAGGGACGGGAATGGCATTTTAAAAGACATATCCTCTATTATTTTACCTCAACATGTATTTCCAGTGAAAAAATTGATTGGAAAAAGTAAAACCTATCGGCGTTTGCTTTGCGAAAAGAACATTTGTGTCGATGTGTTCTAAAAAAACTACTAAAGTCTAGTAATGACTACTCACATAAAATAAAAGCTTAATTTACGCCGAGTCCTATGGTCTATGTCTTATTTTTGTGCTCGCAGTGGAAAAAAAGATATCTGCAAATAATTACCTGAAATTGGGTCCGGCGTTTGCATTTGTGGTCACGTGACAAAACTTGTTCATCCAGGGTGTATATCAATCTTGATGAACATTTTAAGATTCAATTATGAACAAAAACAAATATTTAAAATAGTCACTTTTTAAGAAAAAGTCTGACTAGATATTTTGAAATGTAAGGGAAGTAATTACAAATCAAAAGCATTTAAATCTTGTAAGAGTAGTGTATCCTGTTTCTTGCATCTTACTATTTTCACATATATTTTGTTTACTTTACTGACAGATTTATTGTTGACTTATGCCAATATTAATTCAAAAGTGTATATACCAAAATGTGACTATAAGCTATAATGGCTTTGTCAATTGTGTATTGTGAGATTTATGAAAGAATAAAGCTTCTTCTTCTTCTTCTTCTTATGTCATTGAATTAATGGAATGAAACTGTAAATGACCGTTTTTGTTCTTCAAATGGCCAGACTGCACACCCAGTACAGTCGGAACAAGCTCTATATAATGTTGGTAGCTCATTTTTTTAGGGGGCGATTATTTGAAAGGGGTAGGAAAATATCGGTTCGTATCACAGGACCATTTGTGTAGCTTAATTAGATATGGATATAATAAAAGGAAAGGAAATAAATGCAATGTTACTTTTATGAATTGTACTAGAGCTAAATAAAGACAATACATTTTTATAGTCTACATATAAGTGAATAAGGTGGTATAAAATAGGAAGAAGCTTGGAAATTTTCACGGATGGTTAGGGCGCTTTTCATCGTTTATAATGACGTCAAACCTACACACGCGATTTATTATTTAAAGTGTCCGTCAAAGTCTGGCGTCATAAGATGACGTTGTAAACATGTCAATTAATAAAACACTTACTAAAAGCAATTAAGATACAGGATGGGATAAATTTACGTTAGTAAAAGTGCAAAATAAATAAAGACAGTTATGTGTTTAACAGACTAAAAAATGCCTAACTTAAGACAGGAAAAGTGATCATATAGAAGATCCAGGAAAATCTATATCAAAATTGATCTTATGGTATCAGGATTACTAAAATGGAAATCAAGATATATAAAAACTAAATACAAGTTTCCCTTTCTCGTATTATCATTTAGGTTTTTCGTATTATCGGGGCATGTTGAGGGCAAAAAATCTTGAAATGTTATGTCAAGTTCATCTACAATGCCAGTTTAGGCTTTAAAAGCCCCACGATTATACGAGAAAACATGCAGTATAAATACTGTATAACTGTAAAGTACCTATGTCGAGCAAATTTGGTCATCTATTACATAAAATCAGGTTCCAAAATATATACCACATACACAAGTAAATCGTAAAATAAAGAATTAGGATAGATTCTAATAGGGGAATTCAAATTTTATTTTCAAGAGATGACACGTAAAATAGCATAAAGCATGCAAACTTTACTTGAATTGAAACGCCGACATAGAATTGAATCGAAGAAAAACGCCTGTAATAAGCAAAAAAAACGGTAGTCTTATTGTAAAGTTGTTTCACCAATTCGGCCTACGTACGGTACTTGCAACCGTGCTCACACATTTCCTTTTTTATTTTTTAAATGTACTTGCTTTCCGTTAATAAAGTATCTTTTCTATCTTTTCTACTCAATATTAACCAATCAGATTAAGTTGAAATATTTGCTACCAAGTGCGAGACTGCATTGTATAAAAATGGCGGACAAGTCATTAGAATTTGGCATTTGATTAAAAAGAAAACTGTTACAAAATGCCACCGAAAAAACCAGTACCAACAAAAGCGCCTGCAGCACGAGGTCGGGGCGGAACTGCCGTTCGAGGAGGACCTGCTGCAGGAAGGGGTGCTGCAGTTGGAAGAGGTGGTCCGGCTGGAAGAGGTGGTCCAGTCAAAAAAGGTGCAACACCAGCACAAGGTTGGAACTGTTGACTAATATTCTGCTAAATTGATAAGCAACATTCGTTAAAAATATTTTATTGAATTGTTTTGGAAATCTCTACATCTACATCATACTGCTTAACAATCAATTCTGATCATGACTAGCATGCTCTACTTTTACATGCTGGTGAAAATGCCCGATCGGGCTTATGACATAAAAAAAATAGAAAAATAATAAAGTGATTCTTTTAAACTTTGTATGTTTCTTGAGCATAATATATGACATAGACAGATAGAAATGTATTTGGTGACTGTCACTTTTATTATGAGAATTATTTCCCCGTTTTCATATTTTTATTAGTATAACCAGGGTCTTTCAAATAGAATCTATTTGAAAGACCCTGGTATTAAACATAAGTTTTCCTTAAAGTCCTTAAAAAATATGTTTTGCTTACCTTGAAACACTTTCCCTGTACGGATGACCATTTACAGTTGAGTTCACACTAAAGGTTACACAAAGTGCACTAGGAGTGCACTAGATGTGCACTTCAAAGTGCACTAGTAGTGCACTACTAGTGCACTTCATAAGTGCACTTTTGTAGTGCACCAGACCTATTTTATGTATTAATTTCAATGAATAGCAAATTGACTTTTACAAAAAGATAGATAAATATAGATATCTGTATAACAGTTTTGATAATAAATTTGAAGTTGTGAATATTGGATTTTGTAAAATATGGCGAAAAATATTAGAACAATAATTTTTCAGTCATTAATTTTACTGATTTTGTACTTTAAAACTTAATTGTTAGAATAAGTAATTTAAATATAAATAATTATAACTTTCATGTTGATAAGTGCATAAATAAACAAACTTAATTGATATTTAATATGATTCTATTTTATTATAATTTGGTAATGAAAATATGAAACATTGAAATGCTAATCAAACAAAATTCAGTCAGTTCTTTTTTTTTTGGGGGGGGGGGGGGGGGGGGGCAAATTATACCGTAGTATTAGTTATTTTTGATCTTAACTTAAACAACCATGGTTGTTTTAGTTAAAGGTAATGATTTTAAGCATTAATTAAAGAATTAATATGTTTATAATTGGCCTAAATTTTGTCAATTTTATCTAATTTTTAATCTCTCTTACCTTCTCAAACTGAGATTTACCTAAGATTAATATAAATGATATATACTATTCTGAAAATAAATATTTATATAGAATGGTGGTATGTATGAAATGTGGATTAAGTTTAGATAAAGTATTGATATGTACCTGTGGGATACTAGTATACTTAAACTGACATATATATTAACAAAAAGATGAGAAAATCCGTCAATTACACATTTTGAGACGACACCAATCTTTTTTCCTTTTTTTTCATGCATTGTAACATTATAATGCAATATGATTAATTTGAGTTTATTATAAACTGCAAAAATATTCATTTCTCTTTTTGTACTACTTGTAATGAAATTTATTTGCACCAACATCCAGAGAATACAGAATTTACATCGCCTAATCAGCCTTTTGTTATTTACCCTGAGGGGCTCTCTTATCAGCAGGGTACTACGGTATACCAAAACACCAATACACAACATGACTTTTGACACTTTAATCTCCTGTAACTGTTTTCTGCTCATGTATGATATTTAATTAAAAAAAAAAACAAACAAAAAAACAGATCTGCATTAAAGTGAAAAGGAAGTTGCAAAAGTTTTATAATCATGTATTTAAATATTTTCTTAAAAATATATTATCTTCTAAACGCGTAAAAACTGACAAGGCAAATTTGTCAAATCTATAATAGAAAAAAATAACATTTCCTACTTCAAAAACTAAAAGATGCTGCAAATTTTAATGCAGAATTGCAATAAATGTGGATAAATATTTATATGAGGTCTTTGTAGAATAGTCAGGCCTCGACACTAACTTTTTTAGCAGGTGGTATGCCGGACCACTAGATTTGAAAGTTAGGTGGTCCTTCCAGAAGTCAGGTGGTCAGTTATCATTATTATATCATTTTACTGCAAATGTACAAAAAAAATGTTTAAACTTTATGACAAAGATGTATTATTAACCTTTAAAGAGAACAGATATTTTTAGATATATATTTTTCATCTAATCAGAAAAGGAAGAGCAAGTCAGTAGGTATTTTATCGTAGAGTTATTTGTTTATTTGTTTTTATCTCAGTCAAAAATACACAGCAGAGCTCTTATTTATGTTAACTTTTATATTAATGTGATTTCTCCCTCAAATCAAGTTAGGGAATATATAGTGAAGCCATTTGTGTCTGTTATTTTCTTACTGTTATTCAAATATCCATTGCTGATACGTGGTATGTCTTATAATCATGATTATAAATAACATAGCATCTTTTATAGATTAACATTTTTAATGGAACTAATAAATTATCTTATTCTTGTCTTTGAAAACAAGGAAATATCGAAATTATTAAAATAATGACAACGTTATTATTTACTATAACTTATCTTATTTTTCTCACATATTTATATTTTCTCACATATTTATAATACATAATTTTACCTCCCTTTTGCTTGTTATTTGATATTCATTTTTGACATTAGGTATTTTTAACCTTTTAAAATAATTTTAACTCTAGAAGAAACAGATCTCTTATCGTTAAACAGTTAAAATAAAGATAAATAGCATAGAATTACTAGATGTATTTTTTCCAGTTCCTTTCGTTTGCTGCCGTTATTCAAATATCTGAAATTTAAGTTTATCCAATATCATATAATTACCATCATCGGATACTCCCGGTTGATTAATATGTAACATAACATAAAATGTTAATGGTTCCGCTGTGGTAATCAGACAATGCATAATTACTAGCACCATTTGAATGATTTTTGTACCTAAATTTATATCACAAATTCTTAACTCTTTTAACTTGCATAAACAAAATTTTAGCGACTTAAAATGAAAGTTATTGATGACTTAAGAACTTCTGTAACTAATCAGAGATTAATGAACCATATACATGTACATCGGACATAGATTAATGATTTTAAACAAAAGTATATAACATGTTTTTGACCAAATCGCCATTCTCCCAAATAAGCCTTGTATCAACCAGAAAATTCAAGTGGTCCGACGGACCAGTGGGTTTTAAAATTAGGTGGTCCTTGTCAAAACCAAGTGGTCTCGGACCAACGGACCACCGCTAATATCGAGGCCTGATAGTTAACACTGATATTGGTTTTAAACCATTTTTTTTATGAAAAGATTAGAAAATTCCACTTCAAAGACAATAATGACAATAATATCTAACGTGCGTTTATGCCATTAAAACTATTTTTTACATTTGATTATACAAAATGTATAGTCATTTATCGATGACTTACATGATTGTATTTTGGATGAAAAAAAAAGGAAATTTTAAATAAATATTGCATACATCTGCATTTTTGTTATTTACCCTGAGGCCCTCTTATCAGCAGGAGACCAGTGTAATGAAAACAGTCGCTCTCAAAAAAATACCAATACACAGCATGACTTGTATAAAAACATTCCCTTTATACATTACATTTTTAATGTAGAAATCTTGAATAAAGTTATAAATTTTATTTATTTCATGGAAAAATTTTAATTATGTATAAATATCCGTGATATTATTATGCAGAATGGCAAGAAATGTTGATAAATGGATACATATAGAAAATTCCGCTTTAGAGACAATATTATCTATTATGCATTTATGCCATTATGATTTTGTTTGTATATTTGATTATACAAAAATTATGGTCATTTATCTATATGACTTACTAGCCTGAGTGCCAAGCCTGGTGAATCCCAGGCTTATGTCTAACATGCATTTTGAGAAAACCAGGGAATTTCAATGAATTCTTATAAATCTGCAAAATTGATTGTTCTTTGTTATTTAGCCTGAGGCCCTTTTATCAGCAGGAGAGTGGTATATTGAAAACAGAAAATACTCATACACAGCATGACTTGAGATTTTCCTCCTCAATAAAAGTATTCTCTTTATACATAAAATTTTTAATATTTAAATAATGAATAAAGTTATCAAATGTATAATATTTTAACTATTTATATCTTTAAAACATATGCAAGAATTATACAGTTAAAAACTAAATTATCACAGTGCACGTATATTGGATTCTTTTAAAATCAATGTATTAATATTCTCTTTGAATAATGAACATGAGGAATTGTCTCTTAGTTATATATTATAGAAATAATATTTTAGCTCAAATATTAACCTTTCTTTGATTTGTATGAGCTTATGAAAAAAAGTTTATGTTGCTACAAACTAAATTAATTGGGCCAGAATTATCACATCGATTTTCTCATTTGTACACTAGAAAAAATTGAAATATATGGCCATTAAAAAAAGCTTTAAAAACACTTATTTAATTATCCATTACGGAGCATATTTAAATTTAACCTTATTAATTCTATAAATTTGATTTTAAGGGGTATTATTTTTCACTTACAGTTAAATACTCAGGTTAATAAAAATATGATTACAATAAATAAAAAAACACATTTTAATTTTAAGCTTTCACCTAAAATGTTAAAACTGCTGATTTTAAAATTTACTTATTTATATTCATGAATAGGCCATATTTTCCCAGTTTTTTTTTTCATACAGCAGCGTAACAATGGATACCCCCCCCCCTCACTTGATAATATACAATTATCCAATAAACCATTTAGGTGTCACCTTCCCTGGCCAGCCTGGTCATATGGTCTAGTGCACTAGAAGTGCACTTCTAGTGCACTTCTAGTTCAGCTCTAGTGCACTAGAAGTGCACAAGGGTGGGAAGTTTAGTGTGAACTCAACTGTAATTATATCTCTCAGATTCTTCGGATTTATCTTGCCGTTCTAATTACCTTCTTACAAGATGGCGGCTAGGAATCGTTCTCGTCTTGCCCGGACTAAATCTCGTACCTTCCGGGAACGGTATGTTCCGGATTACGGTTACACTACCATACCTCACCACACTCCCCCCGACTTTAAAGATGAAGTCCTCTCACTGGAA